ATATATTAATAGGTTAAGATAATTAAGCGATATTTTTAATCTTAACCTCGCTACCGCGACTACTATCTAATTTAAGGGAGTAAGACTATCGACGCTTTCTTAAATAGATAGCGATAGCGCTAATACGTTTAGTAATTTCCTCCTTTAATTATATAATACGGTCTTATAAGTATTTCGTCTCCTTTAGCTCTTTAATATACGCTTATAAAGCTATAAGCTTTTCTTTATAAGTTAATAGTCTTACGCTTATAGGTAGCGATATCTTTAATATAGTTAGAATATCGTTTATAATAAGGGTCTATTTTAAGGATATATCTTCTAGTTCTTTATCTCTTAAGTAAATACTTAATATATATAATAAAGAGGCCTCGATTAATTAACTACTATATTATACTATAGGAGCGTTATATAGTCTTCTTTAAGTAGCTATCTTTATTAAGTAACTAAAAAAAGAAGCTTTAGAAATTATAAAGGAATATATATTATAGTATAATTAGTTAGGTAATAAAGATAGCTAGAAGTACTATACTATATATATTATATTTTCCTTATTATAAGACTAAAGCTTATAAGAAAAGGGATTTTTCCTCTTTATTTAAAGTAGTAAGTAGTCTATAATATATAAGTAAGGTAGGCACGATTCCCTACTAATACCCTACTAATATATTAGTACTATATACTTAAGTGCTTTATTAGCCTATACCTCTTAGTAGCGCTCTTATAGGTGCCCTTATTTCTAGTACCGCCGTTCTTAGGTTTATTAGTAAGAGAAGTTAGATCGCGGCTATCTCTATTATTACTATTATTATTATCTTAGCCCTTATTTAGCTAGGTATTAAGATAGTCTTAGCCCTTATTTAGCTAGGCCTTATCGTTAATATCGGCCTATTTATTCTAAGAAGCGGCCTAAGCGATAATCTCTTATTAGCTAAAGCCGCCCTATTAAGATAAAGTAGCTAAGTTATTAGTACTTACTTAGGAGCGCCTAAGTATAATCTCCTCGCTAGTATTAATATCGCTAATAAGAGTAATAGACTTATAAGTTTCCTAGCCTATAGAGGTAAGCTTATTAGTAATTAAAGTTAAGGTATTTAGTAGGGTAACTAAGGCATAACCCTCACTAATGTTAGGTCCTAGACTAAAAGTCTCTTAAGACTAAGATTCCCCTATACCTTTCTTAGCTTTCTTTACTAAGAGGGAACTAGTATTACTATAAGACTTTTAGGCTAATCGTTTATACTTCGAGGGCGAACCCGCCGCTACCTACTCCTATATATAGCGTAGGAAATCGGTATTATAGTTCTTTATCTTCTTTAATATAAAAGGTATTATTATTAATAAATCGTTAATAAAAAGTAATATAAAAAGGTATAAAGGATTAATAAAAAAAGGCGTAAAACTCTATAGTAATTATAAGTAAAAGAGTTAAAGAAGAAAAGAAAATAGAAAAAGTAAGAGATATATATATACGCTCTTTATATTATAGTTATATAGCTAATATATAAGCGATACTATAACGGTTACTTAGTAGTAACCGCTAGTATAATAACTATTAACGTTATAGAGCATAGACTAATATATACTTATATAGGCGTATACGTATAATATATAACTAAAACTACCTCTTTTCTTAACTAAATATATATAGTATAGCGAAAGTAATATATATTAAAGATATAGCTAAGATATCTATATAAGAAGGGAAATAATTATAAGAGCGCTATTAAGAGGTATAGGCTAATAAAGTACTTAGGTATATAGTACTAATATATTAGTAGGGTATTAGTAGGGAATTATACCTACCCCGCTTATATATTATAGACCTTTCGCTACTCTAACTAAAGATAAGAAATCCCTCTTTTAGTAAGCTTTAGTCTTATAATAAGGAGAATATAATATATATAGCGTAGTACCTCTAGCTATCTCTACTACCTAACTAATCGTACCGTAATATATATTCCCTTATATACTCTTATATATACGATACTATTCTCGCCTACTACGAAGGCCCCGACCGTTCTTACTTTAACGGCTATCGGCGCCTATCTATTTTTAATGCCGGATATAGATCTCTAGGCGGATCCGAAATATCCTAATCCTTATAAAAAACTTTAATATAGTAACGACGGGACCTAAATAGTTAGTTTTATAAAGATATATATAAGCGGCGATACCTTCTTTAGATACTAAGTTATAGATTCGAAAGAAAATTAGTATAACCCCTAGGGACTAAAAGAGCCTGGTTGCTAGGGTTTCGAGGAACTAATCAGGGATAACGAAAACGGCCTTTGCAAACGGAAGCCCGGGGCCACGCCCAAGAACACGTCTAAGACTAGGGAGTGGGCCCCGGCCTAGACCGACCCCCCGGAGCCCGAAGCTCACTTTCCGGAATAGCCGTTTGTCATGCCGAACCCGAGCCTCACGGCGGACCCGCAATGTTCGGAGCCTTGTAAGAGGGACGAGTCTAAAAAGGTAACGGGCACCTTTGTCAGGTGGCGGGACCTATCGTATAATCAGGTTCAATTTTACGGATGCTAAGCGAACGATGGTCGCCGGCCAATCGGGGATATGTGAGTGCCCTATTACTATCCTAAGCCACTAATTGCGGAACCCGACATGGGTTACTGCAACCAGTGGCTTTCTTCTAAGCCCGAGCCGGCCCCGGGAACGGCGCCGCAAGCCACGCCCAACACCACGACGCTAAGCGGGAAGGAGGACGATTTTCTCTACCCTATACCCTAACCCGATTATAACTCTTACTAGTTAGTTTCTTAGAAATAATTGTCGTCCCTAAGGCAAATTAAATTAGGCATAGCACATTTCGGCACTTTAGTTATAATATATAGCACTAGTAAGGCCTAAATTTAGCTATATATTGCCTATTTAGATGCATATTAATAATTTACCTTATTTCCCTGACGTCGCTAGTCTTGCTATCGGTCGCCGCCCTGCTTACCATTTTTATCGTCGCTCTCGCTAACTGGTTCCTAAGAGTATGTGGTCAAGCTGACTTCCTGACGGGCCAGCCTCTGAGTTGGGCTACCATAATCAGAGGGTCCATGATTATAGTCGCCTTTGTCGGGCTCAATAGTGGGCTAGGTTGTTGTATTCTCGATTAAGGCTAGACGGAGAGGCCCATTTAGTGTTATACTTAAGAAGGAACGGCTTTAGTAGCTTTACCATCGACGAAGTTTCGTTATAGAGCGGGAGTATTAGAGCTATTGTAAGTACTAGCGGAGCTTAACTATCTAAGTTGTATATGGAAGCAAACCGTGAGAGAAATGCAACGGCTTGCTTGCTCGAAGGCGGGGTGAATTGCAGCGATCTCGTTGTAGTTATTCGTGCTATAAGGCGAAATCTGATGTTGCCCGTGTATGCGATGGCCCACGCCGGCTGTTCTGGAGTGATAGATAGCCATCCCTGGCCTGGCGAGAGGAGAGAAGCCCACCAGCAATACTCCTCGCTGCTCACGTTTCCAATATTGACCGTGAGGCATTGCCCTAAGTTACTTTCGTCTTCGGGAACTTCTTATGGTGTATTTGCGTAGGACATCGAAATATGTTGCTTCTCTAGCATAGCTATATAGAGAATATATGCCTAACCGAAGAACAGAAGAGCAATGCCATTAGATCTGCTATCCGAATGATTGAAAGAGCTATGGCCCGATATTATGCAAAGTGTCGGCCGAAGGCTTGCTGGCTTCCATCGCCGTTTCCCCTCGTTCCGAGCTTTATAGGGAACCGTACATAAGGTAGACCTCATCTGCCACGTCGCCTGTCCAGTGAGTTCAGTTATACCCTGCAAATTATCCGGTATGGCTGGCAGTCCATGATTCAAACTAGATAGCTTGACAATATCGCGCTGCAGGCCGACTGAGCTGGCTCTTCTAGAGAGGGATTGCCAAAGTTGTTTGCTCCGAGCGAATGTCTGGGTAATCTTGTCCTGAGATGGAGTGACATAATCTTCTCTTTATCGTCGCACATCGAGCAATAATTGCTGATCGTCGATGTTGAAAGTACGCTGCTTGACGCCATCCTGGTCATGATGAACTAATTTCGGATTGGTTTCAAGCACCCCTTTTCTCGCGCCCGTGTTATTGTTAACCGGCACACAGGTTTGACTATTAACCGGCACACCAAAGAAGGGGGGACTGCTAATTACCATAGGTTTATCCTTCATAGCGGGCTGTCTTAATTGGCTAGCATCCCTGCTCGTGAACTTCTTCGTGTGTATGGCGATAACCTTACTTTTTGTAGTGTTAGGAGTGCGCACAGTAGTCGCGGGGAATATAATTACGCACCTAATTGTGCGGTATCGGCGCTACGCCTTGACTAGCTAATTATACTACCTTCTTTTCCAATGTCTAGGTGTCTGACAGCGTACAGATAGGTTAAGGTAATTACCTAACCTACTGCTTGGCGTCCGGTCCGGTTGCAACAATAATCTGCTGTGTCTTCCCAGTCTCGATTTTGTCCAAGCAGAGCCACCAAGATTTAACCACAGGCGCGCCCGATTTCACCCAAGAACATGAGGTGGTTCCATGAGTCTTTAAATGCACTGAGCTGTGTAAGCTGGGTACTGACTGTACCTCCGGAGCTCCAAGGGGCTCTCGATATCAGGGCGCTCGCTGCAGCCAATCACGGTTGCTCGCCCCAAGTTCCCCACGGTGCATGGCCCCACCGTAGCTTTACCGTAGCAAGGCGCCTGCCGTACGTAAGCCCAGCCTGTAAGCAGGGCAGACAGAGGCCATCTATTGTCGCCGGACGAAAGTCTCTTCTCAGCTCCTCCTCCTCATCATCCTCTTGCCCACCGCCCAAAGGTTCCATCCATCCTCCACAGCTTCCCGGTCAAGGGTCACATTGCCCTCCGCTCGTCCTGTCCCGTCCGCTTCTCATTTCCTTTTCTTGCCACGCCTCTCCATCCGTGAGCAACTGCGTCTTCCCAAGTCGACCGGCTTCTCCTCAGTCCGTCCACCGCTCGAGAACCCCCGCCAGATCATCATGCGCGTCGCCCTCTCCGCCATCGTCGCGGCTCTGCCGCTGCTCGCCTCTGCCGAGGAGAATCCCTTCGCCCAGTACCAGGCACACATCCAGAACTTCCTCGGCCGCGTGTCCTCATCCATTCCCAACCCCGGCCGCCATGATCCCGTCGCTGCCCTTGAGGCCAAGCTGGGCTCCATGAAGCTGTCCACCCTGACCCTCGAAAACTGGAAGCAGACGCTCTATGAGCCGGTGGCCCCCGCCGCCACTGTTCCCGAAGAGTGGTGGGTTCTCATCACGGGGCGGAACAAGACCTGCTTTGGTGAGTTGTGCCCCATCTATTCGCAAATCGCGTCAGTCGTCGCGGATAAACGCAGAGCTGACTAGATCTGCACATCAAGGCCATTGCGGCAAGGTTGAACAGGCCTTCAACGAGACGGCAGCCAAGTTCGCCCTCACCCCCGGCTCTCCCCACATGGGCTACCTCAACTGCGACGACCAGCCCATCCTCTGCAACAGCTGGTCCGCTAGCACGGCTCACATCTGGTCCTTCGCCATGCTGCCGGCCCCCGCTCCCGTCGAGATTTATAAGAAGAGGCTCAACCTCACCACCACGACCTCGTCCGACCTCGTCGCTCTGCAATCATCCAAGAGTAAGGCTGAATGGACCCTCCTCGAGTCGTGGTTCCACCCTTTCAACAGCCACGCCGCCGAGTACGGTCTCGCTGTTCCTTACGGATACGTCATGTGGGCTTTCAACCTGGTCCCCAATTGGCTCTTCATGGTCATCGTCTCCTTTGCTAGTCGAAGCATGATGTAAGACCCCCTTCATCTCGTCATCTCCTTGGTGTTGTTGTGGCTGACACTCAGGTTCAGGGGCAACCGGGTGAACAACATGGCTGGACAAGGACGTCCTGGAGCCAGACCTGGGGCCGGGGCCGGGGCCGGACCCGCTCCAGCTGGTCGGTGAGCCTAGGCCATACCAACTCTATCTCGATGTGTTGCGACAATATAGTCCGGGCGAAGATTGTTGATTAAAACCAGGGCAGACGCGTAGGGACGGACGCGTGCTTGGAGATATATCAGTGGGCGGTGGTTGGTTCGGCGCGGATTCGGATATTCATTCTGGGTCAGCCAGGGGCGTACTGTGTTCATGGAATAATAGATGGAGTGTCGCCAGTCTCGAGAATCAAGATTTGTCATGGCATGTTTGCTGCAACGAGTCGAGCCCGTCGAGGACCTCTCCTCTCAGTTTGCCGTTGGCCAGCTTCCCGTACCGCAGGTCGCTGAGCCCGCCGATTGTCTGCTTCACCGACGCCATGAGCGCCGCCTCCTCGTCGCGCAGCTGCCTAATCTCCGCCTCGAGCGCCTCGGCAGCCCCATCAAGCTCAGGCACGACGGAGCGCACCGTATGTCTCGCACCACGCGCCCCGCTCGCGTCCCCAAACAGCGCCCGCTCCATGTCGACCTCGCCGTCGGCGTCCCCATCCGCATCGTCGTCGTCGCGGCGTCGCTGCCGCAGCACCTCGCGACGCATGGCCGCGCCGCGCCGCGCCTCGGCGGCCACGTTTTCCGCAACAGCGTCGACGACGCGCGCGTTGCGCTGCGCCTGCAGATCCCGGAACAGCGAGCGCAGGGGCTGCTGCTGCTGCTGCTGCTGGTGGGAAGTCGAGGCGTCGCCGCCGGCGGTGCGCAGCTGTCGCGGGAAGAGCGCCTGGAACTGCTCAAAAGTGGTGATGGCCGTCAGCGGCGCGGGCTGGACGAGGTAGTGGGTGAGGATGTCGGATTCGGTGGGGGCCATGGGCGGCGGGTTGGTGCTTCTTTGACTGATTTGTCTTGATTTTTCGCGCGCTGTGAATAGGTTTGAAGCTCGGCTGCGGCAGGATTTGTCCAATTGTGAAGCTGTTTCGCCTGGAAGTTGATGGAGAGGAACGCTAACCAGCACTGTACATGCACGTATGGTGGGTGATATCTCAGCACAGAAATATCGTTCTTGCACTGTACACAGACACTCTTAGTCTCGGTAGTCTTCTTCCGCCTTCTGTAAAACCACATCGAGCGCGAGTCGACCACGGAATGGATCGCTGCTGGCCGCGGGGTGACAGTTCTGATCAAGTCTACCTTTCCTCCTCTTTTCTTTTCCTCCTCCTTTTTCCAACAAAAGGTCAAGCCTTTCCTGTATCCGCTCAAAAAGCACTGGGTCTGATCAACATATCTTCACTTGCCCGTCCTGCCACGTCCACCAACTGCACCAGCGGCCATGAGCTGGGCCGTGGTGGTCGATGTCAAGAACGCGGCCTGGAGAGAGCGCCGTGGGGCAGGGGGCTCAGGGGCTAGGTGCCCTTGACGGCTGCCTCTCTCGGTGCCTGGGGGTAGGGGCTTCAGCGCCCTGTGGTCCTGAAGAGTCGGAAATGGGGGGTGGCAGCCAATGAGCATCCGTTGCTGCCCCGTCCGACCCACTACGACCAGAAGGCAAAAAAGTCGCGTCGCGACTCACGCACGCCCTCCGTCACTCCCGCCTAGCAGCTTATGCAGCCAATTTACGCGGCTTTACCCCGTCAACTGTGACTGGCAAGGCGCTGGCTCAACCTCGATATTAGCCCACTCCACGACATTGGCTTTGGCTTTTCCCTTGCTCTCCAGGCTCTGAACTACGCCTTCCAAGACGCATTGCCGCAGTATTCTCCGCATCCATCGAATCTAACCGCAGTTCCAGAGGCGAGATGGCTCCCGCCCGCCAGCAGCAGGCGCCGCAGTTCAGCAAGGACGAAAAGGTCCTCTGCTTCCACATGGACATGCTTTATGAGGCCAAGGTCATGGACGTGCAGCCTGGCGACAAGCCCGGCGATGGCCATCGCTACAAAGTCCACTACAAGGGCTGGAAAAACACCTGGGACGACTGGGTGCTCGCGGACCGGATTCGCCCCTTTGACGACGAGCACAAGGAACTGGCCGCCCAGCTTCACGCGCAGGCCAAGATCAGCCAGCAAAAGAACTCGAAGCAGCCCAAGAAGATTCCCAAGAGTGGCGGCGAGTCGGCACGCGGCAGCGAGGAACGAGGGTCCGCTGCCTCCCAGGGGGGGGCCAGGGGAGGACGCCGAGGCAAGGATTGGGAACTGGAGCAGGTAAGCGGCTGCTATTTCGACTCTTACATCGTGCGTATGGAGAAGCGGCTCATGGCACCGCTCCCCCTGGCAACCGCACGTGCGCCTCTCCCAGACCCGTCATCATCTTGACCAAAGTCAAGAAACAGACTTCGTGAGTCAGAAGAGAGCAGTGCTCTTGAATCCAAAGCTACATTGCTTTTACTTTGAGCTATGGATAACTCCCCTGCTGCTTCGGGGAACCTATTCTCGTTAACCGTGCTCTCGAGCGTGTCACGAGGGTTTCTTTAGCCGCCAGCCAGACTTGCTCGTGCAGCTCAAGTTAGCGAGATCAAGCCTTCTCAGTGCCCCATTAACCGAGCGAGGTGCTCGTTGCCTGGGCATTCAAAGGCTATCTCGGAAAGACTATTGTCTCCTGGGTTCTATAAGAGCCCCAGCCCCGTCCCTCTTTTGAGCCTGCCTTTCTTCTTCCATCCACCTTCTGCATCTTCACGCACAACCCGTCTTTTTGCATTCTCCTTCACCGTTTACTACTTGGTCCACCATCAATCTCTGCATCTTCTTCAATATGGCCGCAACCAAGAAGAGTGCCCGAGCTGCAAAACGCAAGAGAGCCTCGCCCCCCAAACAAGCCAAGCCAGCGACGGCGTCTCCCGTCAAGAAATCGACTTCACCTCCTACCAAGCAGGCGAGGTCGTCTTGCGCCAAGGAATCAACTTCGCTTGCAGCCAAGCTGGCTCTCCCTCCAACTCGACATGAATTCCCTGTCTCAAATGTGCGAGGTTGCCCTGAGAGCCCCCCTAGAATCCCTCAGTTTAAACCCAATTCGATCCCAATCAAGCTCATAAGCCTCGATTTGGAGCCTGACCACCTGACGAAGCTCCCCAAGATTGGGCATCGCTACATCAGTGCCTATGGGAAGCGTCTTTACGACAATCGCTACGACATGGCCGCGCAAACCCGCCGGATGCTACGGCCGAGATGCGGCCAAGGCAAGAAGCAGCTCACCCCGGAGCCAACCTCCGAAGAGACTGCTCCAGAGTCTCGTTGCGAAGCTGAGCGCAATGGTCAGTTGCTCAATGGCTTGCAACAGGATTTTTGCTCTCGCCCATCTCGCAGTCGAGTGGCTGCGCTCTAGCGACTTCTCCTACTCTCTTTGATCATTCGGTCGAGCCTTTTCGCCCTGCAGCAGGCAGACAAGGCTAACCCGTCCTGCAGGAGGATGCCTTCCACAGCAAACCAATGATCAACATCCCGGTCCCTGATCACGTTCAAGCGATGCTGGTTGACGATTGGGAAAACATCACCAAGAACAATCAATTGGTGCCTCTTCCCCATCCGAAGCCTGTCAACCAGATTCTGGAGAGCTACTTGGTGCACGAAAAACCGCATCGGGAGGAAGGCTCGGCCAGCATGGACATCCTGGAAGAGGTCATTGCGGGCCTACGAGAGTATTTCGAAAAAGCACTGAGCAGGATACTGCTGTATCGGTATGCGTTGGCTCTTGCACGACGGTCATTATGAGCAAAACGCTAACCCAGTCAGCTTTGAGCGTCACCAGTACATGGACGTACGCAAACTATGGGACAGCAATACCGAGGAGAACTCGGACTACAGGAGTGTCTGCGATGTTTACGGCGCTGAGCATTTGGCTCGGCTAATCGGTATGCCGGCCTTGCCGCTGGGTTTCCCCGGCTGTGAACCTCGCTGACCAGGCTTGCAGTTTCGCTGCCTGAACTTCTCGCCCAGACCAACATGGATCAGCAGTCGGTGTCGCGCCTGAGGGAGGAGATTGGCAAGTTCACGGTTTGGCTTTCGCGGAACTGCGAGACGTGCTTCGTCAGCGAGTACGAGACTCCGTCGCAGGAATACATTGACAAGGCGCGGAGCTTCTGAGCCTCGTCGGGCTCTCGGCAGCATGCAACTGGCTAGTGAAGAGTCACGGCACAGCCTTGGATGGCGCGGAAGAGCACACAGGCAGGAGATCTAAAAAGTAACACAAGGGGCATCGGCAAGGGGTCATTACAGCGCGGCGAAGGGTCTTTTTTCTCCTTGAGTCATGGTCCGTTGAGCTATCGAGAGTTGGAAGAAGAAAAGGATTCCAAAGGGGAATAGGGGTGAATAGCCAATGAATTGCATCCTTGATATGTCTTTCATGTTTTCCGCTGCCGCCTTGGCAACCCTTTGCCCGCCCCCGGTAGGCCATTGCGTTTCGATGCATGACACGATGATGATCACAGTGAAATAATACAGCGTCAGCTCCAGCACCCTCCATCCCCATCAAGTCCTCGCCACCTCGTCCCCATCCACCCCCTTGCCCGGCCTCCACGCCTCCATCCTCGGCATGCCCCTCTCCAGGTAGAAGCCCTGGTCGGGCTTGCGCTCGCGGCGGAGGGCGGCCTTGCCCACCCGGCGCGGGACCTCGGCGACGCGCACCAGCTCCTTGACCTTGAGGATCATGCCGGCAAACTGCGGCTCGACCGGGTGGAAGACGGTCTGGGCGCGACGGCGCAGGCCCAGGGCTGCGAGGACGCCCCTCGTGCGCTCCGGCAGCCCGATGGCCGAGCGGTGGAGGGTGATGCGGAAGAAGGCCATGGGGGTTGTGTGTGTGTGTTTGGTCTTTTTATATATTTTTGGTGTGGTCCGGAAGAGGGCGCTCTTTTTCTTTCCCTCCTCTTTATATATTTGTTGGTTTCTGGCTTCCCCAGCGGTTTGTCCGGACTGCTTTTACACCTCTCGCACTCCCAAGAAACCCTATCCGTTTCCCTTCGTTTTGTAGTCGGGCCAAACGCGTGGCTATCGTGCTGGAGAAGCAGGTTCGGATAAGAGGATTGCGCCTGGGCTCGCTCGGTCCGCTGGCGAAGTGGTGGGGCGGCTCGCAGATGCGCGCTAGAACACAGTCTTTCGTCTGGTGGGTAGTCTCCCGTGTCAGGGTCTTTTGAATTGGGATCGCGTTGGTACGAATGGTCTGGCTGCGAGGTCGAGTCGCTGTCCGAGCTGTGTCGTCTGTCGTCGCCGCGCTACTGAGTTGGCGCTTGTCTGCCGGCGGCTCGGCGTCGGACGCGGACACGTGACCTGGACCACCTCGACGCCCTGCCCTGCGTTACAAGATCAAAAAACACCCTAGAGAGTTGATTTTCCATATGCACACGCTTCGAGATGCAATCTGCTTTTGCTCGTACCACTTTGCTCCCTCCTCGAAGGGCTTTTTTGACAATCAGGTGCGTTTGTGATGAATGACGGCCACAGGTCAGTCCAACGTGCTTCTAGACCGTATCTGAAGAAGCGTAAAAATACATACAAGATCTAAGCCATGCCCACAGCATCACAATCATTGCGTCGACAGCTAGAATTTCGGTTCATAACACTACACGTACCGAGAAACTTGGTCTCCTACAAGCCTCCGCCTTCCCATTCCATTCCCGCCACACCAGATCATCAAAAGGCACGTGGAGGAGGAAAAAATCAAACCGAATCGCCGCTCATCAAATCTATTCCATGCTGTCCTACATCTGAACCTCCACTCTGCCTTCGGCGCCAGGCCGGCCTTCGCGAAGGTTGGGGAGCAGGTAGGTGATGTCATCCCACGGGTGACGATACAGGCCGGTGCGCAGTCTCTTCTGGTCGAGGTAGTGGGCAATCAGACCAATGCTTCGGCCCAGAACGAACAGACCGTTCAGGACACCCATCTGCAAGTAGTCCTCAGCTTCCTCAGCAGAAAAGGCACCGCAGTTGCGGAGCAAGTCGACAAAGCAGACGGCGATGCAGCCGTCCACGTTGAGGATCAGGTTGTCCTTCTTCGAGGTGGTCACCGTCTCGACGGCCAGGGCGTAATCGAGGAGTTTATGGTTGGGGAACTTGGCCAGGACGTACTCCTTGACAAGCTCGACTCGGAGATCCGGGTTGTTGCGCGACTTGACGCGATGGCCAATGCCCGGAATGAGCTTGTTGGCCTTGCGCATGCTGTCGACGAACTCTCGGGGGCTGAGGTTCTTGTCGAATGCCCTGGTGAACTCATCGGCAGCTCCGTCCAAGGCACCACCGAAGCGGGAGCCAATGGTTAGCAGGCCGGAAACAAGGGCGCTGATGAGATCCTTGCCAGCTCGCGTGGTGATGATGGTGTTCATGGCGCCGGACACAGCCGGGCCGTGGTCGGCCGTGAGCATGAGCACCATCTCGAGGAACTTGGAGGCGTAGTCGGGCAGTCGGCGACGGAACCACAGGAGGGACATGACACCGCCGATGCCAATGTCCTCCCTGAAGACGTCCGAGATGGGCATGCCGGCGTAGAGCAGCTCCTGGCCACGATCGTCAGAGATGGTGGAGATGAAGGCGGCAGGCTTCCGGATCAGGCCGAGCTCCTGGGCCCAGGAGTAGTCAATGGGGATCTTGGGGACGACGGGCTCGGCCTGGGGCACAATGGTACCCTGCTTGACCAGCTTGTCGTAGACCTCCTTGAGGATGGCAGGCATGTCCTCAAAGGTGTCTGGTACGTGGAAACCGGCGTCGCGCATCGTCTTGTTCTTCATGGCGGCGGTCTCGAGCTGCGAGTTCGCAAAGGAGCCGGCGTGGCCGAACTGGACCTCGGTTTTGAACATGCTGGCGCAAGTGCCAATGGCCCACGCCACAATGGGCTTGGTGATGATGCCCTGCTTGACGGCGTCGATGACCTTGTACTCTTCGACGCCGCCGACCTCGCCGAGCAAAACCAGTATCTTGCATTCGGGATCGGCCTGATATCGGAGCATGTGGTCGATGAAGGTGGTGCCGGGGTACCGGTCACCGCCGATGGCAATGCCCTCGTAGACGCCGTCGGTATTGTGGGAGATGATGTTGTTGAGCTCGTTGGACATGCCGCCCGACTTGGACACGTAGCCAACGGATCCCTTTCGGTAGAGCTTGGAGGCCACTATGTTGTCCATCATGCCGCCCGTGTTGCCAATCTTGAAGCTGCCGGGCTTGATGCCACCGACAGTGGCGGGGCCAATGATGGTGACGCCCTTCTTCTTGGCGACGTGGGCAATCTCACGAGCTCGCTACCCGGTTCCCGGTTAGTAGGCTGCCAAGACGGTGGCGCACGCGGCGAAAGACGACTTACTCGCTCCGGAACACCCTCGGCGATGATGGCAATGGTCTTGATTTGGGGATACTCCATCAGCTCCATGGTGGAGCTGTAGACACTGCGGGACGAGGCAAAGTTGACGACGACATCGACCTCGGGGTGCTTGCTGACGGCCTTGCTGACCTCCTGGTAGACGGGCAGGAGGGTTTCGCTGGTGCCCCAGTACATCTTGCTGACGAACTGGCCACCAAAGGTATAGATGATACCGGCGACGGACGGTGTCTTGCGCTTGCAGATGAAGTCAAAGTCCAGCATGCCCTGGACGGCACGGGGCTGCAGGCCATAGACGAGGCAGCGAGTCTTGTCGTTGAAGAGAGCGTGGGCGGGGAGCGGGCTCAGCGGTCGGCTCGGGGCCGCGAACCGCTGGATGTTATCGTTGGCGGACAGCTGGCCCTTTACGCCATTGGCGCCCTTGGTTGAGGCTTGGGCCATGGTTGATTGTGATTGTCGTTGGCGACGAGGACGGAGGTAGATGGTTGACCCGACTGATTTTGTCCAGTGTCTCGAGAGCGAGCCAATGTCAGAAAAAGCTGCGGCTGCTGGTGTGTGAGAAGCCAATGCAAGCTCAGCAGGGCCGAGGGAAATGTACGAGAAGAAGGCGAGAAGGGAGGAGAAAGGAAGAGTGGGTGAAGCGTGTCGGGATGCGCAGCAGGGCGATGGGGACGAAGAATGGAGACGCCAGGAGGAGGGGAGTCGAGAGGTTTGGGCGAGGCTCCAGCTGCTAGCTTGGACGGAGGGTGCTTTGGTGAGGTGCGCTTGCACTGACTGAGCTGGGCGGTGCGGGAAAGCTGGACCACCAACAAACTTGGTGGGTCCCGCCGCTGCGGGTAGCCCTGCAGGATTGGCCGGGCACTATCAGGGTGCAGCAGTCTTTTTTGGTGGGGTCGCGAGACGTCGAGGACATGCGCCTGAGGGGCAATAAAGGTCATACACTTACCGGAATCAATAGATGGTGCAGTTCTTGTGCAGTTGAGATTAGAGGCGTCGAGGTGAACCCGCTTTGGTTGCAGGTAGAGGGACAGAATATGATCGTGGGACGAGCAACACACGGAGCGGACGGATCGACGCGACAGCTTCCGCGCGCCGACGGCCGAAACGAGTTGGGGCGGCAAGGGCTTTTCCTTTGGTGGGGGGGACCGACTCATCGGCCTTTTTTTCTTTTCGTTGATCTGTTGAATGCCAGCGAGCTGCGAGTGTAGAGGTACGGAGAGGCAGAGGAAGCGAGCAGACCCCCCTGTCGGGCCCCTTGCAATTGCCGCAGGTTCCGGTACTTTGCCCGCCAAGCATCTCCCTTCTCCTCCTCGTCTCGCCTTGACACCATGCCTGGAAGCGCCGGAGGGGCGCCAGGCCGTCTCCGGAACACTCGAGGGAGACTCCCAGCACCCTCGGAGCCGGCGCTACTCGGACAGACAGAAACAAGAGGGAGCAGGACGAAAGGGAGACGAATCCTTAGAGCCAAAGGGTGCTGCCAAAGGGTGCTGCCAGAGGGTGCTGCCAGAGGGTGCTGCCAAGGGTGCTGCACGCGACCTGGATGGACGACGACATGCACCGCAAGTTGGCTGTCCGTCTCCGTAGGGATTCCGTGCCTGTTGGGCAAGAGGGAAGCTTCCAGATATTCCCTCTCCTCCGAAATCCGGGGCCCGCCATCTCGCGGTCCGTAAGCAGTCGGCCATTCTGTATCACCGCATGCAGCTGCCCGGCGAACCGAAACGCCCCATTTCGGCCCGCACTGCCAAACACGCTCACTGCCCGGATTCGCGTTGGTGCCGACGGTCTTGTCGAAAGTCAGATGCTCTCGTTTCGCAATAAAGCAGCAGATCAGCGGGCAGACCAGAATGTAAGGGACGGGGAAAAGACAGCAAATGCGGCCCTTCCCGACGACGCGGCCAGGGTCCAGGCTCGCGTGCCCTGTCAGCTTAGGCTGTCATGCCTGTACCAGTATCAAGGCAGGTATCTGGGCTGTGCAGCAGACAGCGGGTCGCGGTTCCACTTGGTATCGCTCAACCGCTGGGGATGCCCTTGGCCCGGTGTACCGATACCTCCATCTCCCTGCCCCGTCTTTGACTGCATCACCCCAAAGGATTTTTGGGGCCCCTGGAAGTGCCCGCCAAAGCACCGTGCCCAGTGGACCGCAGCCGAAGCGTCCGTCAGCTGGAGCGGGTACCGTGCCTGTAGCTCGCCCAGCAGCACCCGCACCCCGCTGTCCATTGCGCCGCTGGATTCTTGCTGGTTGGAGCAGCAGCAGCTTCGACTCTTTTGGGCCCAAATTTTCGAGCGGCGGCCAGACCACACACCACTACCTCGCCTCCACCCATTCAGCCCTCCCCAATTCTCCTCGCCAACGCCTCGCCATCGCCTCGCCATCTTCCTCTCCTGACCTGATCCTGTTCGACGTCCCTTGAGCTTTGCATCTCGTCTCGTTGCAACTGCAATTGCGACTTCCCTTCCCTTCCCTTCACGGCCAGCTTGAGCCTGCCTGCTGAGCTCTGGTATGTGTTCCCACTTGGATGCCCCGTTGAGCCGATGGGGAGCTCATCTCGACCATGCCCCATCATGTACAAACGCTTCGGCGTTGGTGGACTTGCGCTCTCCCTCAATTGGCAACGAGCGTCTTCTCCTTCAAGTGTTGCTGACCGCTTCGAGACATCCAGAGAGAGCACCCAGACAGCGAAGGACTTGTCAATCCTAATCGCCATCTCCGCTGTAACCCATCATGTCCGCCAAGTCGATCCTCGAGGCCGACGGCAAGGCCATCCTCAACTACCACCTCACTCGAGCCCCTGTCATCAAGCCGAGCCCTCTGCCCAACCCTACCAAGCACAACGCGCCCGCCAGGCTGGCCTCTCTCCACTTCCCCGAAGACGCCAACGTCGAGGATATCCTGGACCAGGCTGAGATCACCTTTCCCTGGCTTCTCCAGCCCGGCGCCAAGTTCGTCGCAAAGCCCGATCAGCTCATCAAGCGGCGAGGCAAGAGCGGCCTGTTGGCCCTGAACAAGACCTGGGCTGAGGCCAAGGCTTGGGTTGCGGAGCGCGCCGGCAAAGAGCAACAGGTCGAGCACACGACGGGCGTCTTGAGACAGTTCCTCGTCGAGCCTTTTGTCCCCCATCCCCAGGATACCGAGTACTACATCAACATCAACTCTGTCCGAGATGTAAGTCAGCCATCTTTCTTACCTGTGGTCATTTGCTTGTTATGGCTCTGTCTGGCCTTGGCCGGGAGATGGTCGATGACCTGAGGCTTCATAGCCAAGGCGGCCGTGCGGTCGCATTGGGGCGAGCAACCGACTTTCCGAATCCACGAGTGGCGAGGATAAAAAGAAGGAGAGATCAAGCTTGCTGCAGCGGGTGCTCGAGATGAGCAGCGGCAAGGCATTTACCATTGAGGAAGGCACGTGACTCGCGTGGTGGAACTTGAAGGCAGACGTTACTCGCCTTCTGTCGCCGGGCGAGGGGATGTCATCGTGATGGTCCAGGCCTGCCTTTCGGCCTGCCTTTTCGGCGACTCGTGTTCGGCCCGTGCCTGGTCTGCTGAGGCGCAAGCTAATCGTTCCTAATCTGCAGGGTGACTGGATCCTCTTCACGCACGAAGGCGGTGTGGATGTTGGTGACGTCGATGCAAAGGCTGAGAAGCTCTTGATTCCCGTCGATTTGTCGGAGTACCCTTCCAATGGTGACATTGCCGCCGCTCTGCTCAAAAATGTCCCCAAGGGAGTGCACAATGTGCTCGTCGACTTCATCACCCGGCTATATGCCGTTTACGTCGATTGCCAGTTTACCTACCTCGAGATCAACCCCCTGGTTGTCATTCCCAACGCGGACAACACTTCAGCTGCCGTCCACTTCCTCGATCTGGCCGCCAAGCTGGACCAGACGGCCGACTTTGAGTGCGGAGTCAAGTGGGCGATTGCGCGGTCGCCTGCCGCGCTGGGCCTGACTAACGTGGCCCCGGTCAATGGCGAGAAGATCAACATTGACGCCGGTCCCCCGATGGAGTTCCCGGCTCCCTTTGGCCGCGAGCTGACCAAGGAAGAGGCCTACATTGCCGACCTGGACGCAAAGACTGGCGCCTCGCTCAAGCTGACGGTTCTCAACCCCAATGGCCGCATCTGGACTCTGGTGGCCGGTGGTGGTGCTTCGGTCGTCTACGCCGATGCCATTGCCTCGGCCGGTTTCGCCGACGACCTGGCCAACTACGGCGAGTACTCTGGTGCGCCGACCGAGTCGCAGACGTACCACTACGCCCGGACCGTGCTGGATCTGATGCTCCGGGCTCCCATGTCGGACAAGGGCAAGGTGCTCTTCATTGGCGGCGGCATCGCCAACTTTACCAATGTCGCCAGCACCTTCAAGGGCGTCATCCGTGCTCTGCGGGACTACGCGACGCAGCTGATTGAGCACAACGTGCAGATCTGGGTGCGTCGCGCGGGTCCCAACTACCAGGAGGGCCTGAAGAGCATGAGGGCGGCGACGCAGGAGATGGGGCTCAATGCAAAGACGTTTGGACCCGAGATGCACGTCTCTGGCATCGTGCCTCTGGCGCTCGTCCCCGGCAAATGGGAGGAGAGCAAGGTGGACGAGTTCAAGGGCTAGATGGCAGCAACGGGGGCTGCCGGAGGGTCGGGTGTGTTATTTTCCGGCGGCCAAGGGAACTAGGGGCATAGAAGAAGGCTCTGGATGGCAGCATGCAGACTTGTATTTTTTGCCAGTCGGACCGCGGACATGTGTCGGTTGTCCAATGTCGTGTCCCAGGCCATTCGCAGCTAGACGGGGCAAACGGTGTGGGCTAGACGGAGAGAAGGATGGCCAGCGAGACAGGCGACGATAGTTAGTGGTGAATGATGATGACACCCTCACCCAGGGATGCAGCTTGTTGCAGGCACGGGGTTCCACTGCGGTGACGTGGGTTTGCCTGTGTGCACCGGGCTGGGCTGCCTCAAGGGCCTATGGAGCATGTCGTATGTATGTCGGCATCCACGTCACCCAAGTGGCATTGGACCGAGGGGTGCGTGTCCGTGAGAGGGTGGTCGGTCGGCCGCAAGGGACTGCCCCTCGTAGCCCCTCGTAGCCCCTCGTAGCCCCTCGGCGGCGGGCTGTCCTTGGTCGCATGAGGTAGCACAGGGGTGACATTTTCATTTCTTGTTCGAGTCCGAGAGGCCGGCCGTGATGCAGCGGCGCAGTGCGGGAGAGGGAGGGTGGTGGTGATGGATCATGATGTGAGGATGGCGCGAAGGCGAAAGCGCCCCCATCCTGTTATCGTCGCCCTTTTTTTTGTGGCTCGCCTTGTTCTTCTTCCCTTCCGACACTCGCTGTCATGTGCGCAGCCGGATCCCCCCAGCACCGGGTCAGTTGAAGCAGCAGCTCACGAGCATGACGAGGCAGCCCGCCCATCTCGCAGATCTTGCTCTCAGTCTCTCGTATCATCCCAGCCTCTCCGCCACTCCCGTCGTCGTGCGCGCCCCCCCTCTGCGCGCAATCTCCTGTCCTGGCCCCCCCTTTTCCATGCTACTCGCGCCGCGAATAGAAGCCTTGGGCGACGAGGGCGCAAGTAGCGGATGCGACTCTACTCTGTAATCGTGCTGTATGCGTGATGCGCTCTCGCGGTCTGCCTTACCAGCCCGCGCCAAATGGGTGTGTGCAAGCAAAACTTACTTAGACGGCCAAAACCCCTCATCGACCACCAGCCCTCGCTCGACCAATGGCTTTCTTCTCCTCGGGGGGCCCCCCGGCCCTATCGGCCATGCTCCCCGCCCATCTTTGTTTTTATTTCCCGATCCCTTGGGCTTGAGCAGGGTCGACTTACTGGCCCTGAGATTCGCGCCCGAATGCCGGCTCTGCGCCGGCCAAGAAAAAGAGCGCGCATGAAAAAGGGGGCGGGGGCAGGGGGGTGGGTTGTCGTTGTCGTTCTTGGATGCTGCTTACACGCGTCTCGCGCCTCTCCGACCTGCACCTTCGCGGTGGAAGCGCCTTTTTTTCCCCTGCTTGGTCCCCCTGTCGGTCAAGAGACAGAAGCAGTAGATATATGTGTGTGTGTTTAGGGCTCGGTGAGAAAGGGGAGTCGAGGTTGCCGTGTCCTCGGCGGCCCCGCGTGTTATCCATCCGTCCGTCCTCCTGTTCACGCCCATGATGCCCACCAGACAGGTGCCAGAACAGCAACGAACAAAGGGCAACAACAAAATCCTCCTGAAACGTGCACAGAAGAGCACGCAGGCGGTTGGAACCAAAACAAAAAGACACACACACACACACACACACACAGAGAGAGAGAGAGAGAGAGAGAGAGAGGGAGGGAGGGAGGCCGCCGCCACCGCAGCAACTGTCCGCCAGCTGCTCGCCACTTCCCGGCACCCCATATATATATCTCTCTCCCAAGGCAACCCGCCATAGTCTTGACCACCCACACAAACACGCACAACCATCAAGCCCCTTCACCAACTCCTCACAGCACTTCTATTTGTCAAACTAGGCACTTGAACCTCTCTCTCTGCCTCGGGACATCCCAACGCACCGAGCACACACACCAAGCATACCAGCCTCTTGCCCACTCCTCACCTTTCGAAACCAACCACCAACGCGTTGCAATCATCATGTCCGACTTTGGCTGTCCCAGCTGTCCCAGCTGCTGCCACGCCGCTGACTTGGGCGTTCACGACTATTGCCTCCCGTGCGATACCAACCCGTCCTGCCCCCGTTCTGTCAGGATGCAGCCCCGGCAGGCCGAGGTCGACAAGTCACGCACGAAAAGGGCCACTTCCGACTTCAAGGGCTCCGGTTCCTCCAAGGGCTCCGGTTCCTCCAAGGGCTCCGGCTCCTCCAAGGGCTCCGGCAGCTCCAAGGCCAAAGACGACAAGAAGACAAAGGGCGCCGCGTCCAAGTAACTCGAGCCCCGGGGCCGAACATTTACTCCCCACATCAGAGGGACTTGTTTTTGCTAGACCTGTTGGTTTCCTTTACTCCTATTCTCCCCCCTTTCTCATGAGTTGAATCAACAGGGCAGATGAAGGACATCATAGGCGTTGGACGAGCAAGCAATTCAACCACAGGTCTCACTTGAAATGCCATTTCACGGTGCGGGACCCAGTCCCCTTCTTTGAACAAACCTTTCCGTACTTGCTACCCTTGCTGTGCTCTGATAATGGTGAGTGTGCATACATCTTGCTTCTCCCCGCCGCCGCCGCCCGCTAAGCAAAAAACACCATGGCAACCAATGGCAGTGCCGCCGCCCACAGTAGTGGCCGTATCAGCACCGCCGCATCCTCCTTATCGCTGCCTTGAGCACTGCCCTGATCTTTTCCGCCCGTCTTTTGGTCCCGTCCGTCCGTCTTCTGATCCGCATCGCTGCCAGTGTCGGCCTCGTTCTTGCCGGCCCAGTTGAACTCGTCGTCCTTGAGGGGGATGACCTTGAGGCCCGACACCCCCTTGACCGCCATCTGCACATCGTAGTCGGAAACCTTGACGATTTTGCCGCTAGGCTTGGGCTGAATGCCGTTGTCGATGAGCGTCTGGGCGCCGGGAGGGACCGCAGGCAGGGTAAAGTTGCTCTTGAAGCCCTTTTCCAGAATGAGACTGGACTCGCAATCGGGTGGCGGTGCTGCCTTGTCGCTTGCAGCTGACTGCGACTGCACAGACTTCCAGTCAATTTTCGACAGCTGGGACTTGAGTCGGTTGTAGTCGCCCATGATGCTGAGCTCGCTGCCCTTGACCTTGACCAGGCCGTAGCCATTCTCTTCCTCGGTCCACTCGTAGACTACGCCGCCCGAGAAGACGCCTGTCATGTCGCCGTAGATGGCCCTGGTCTCGTTCCAGTAACGTGGCGTGGGCTTGTTGCAGCCGTACTCGCTGAAGAAGACGGGCACCGACGATTTCTTGAAGCGGTCGGTCAAGACGTTGAAAGTAGAGCTCTCGTACGAGGCGTCGGGTCCGCACCAGCTGTACGAATTCAGAGCAAAGACGTCGGCGCGGCTCATGTCGTCCGGGCTGCCGTCGTCGGCGCACTGCATAAAGTTCCACGTGTCCCAGAGAACCTCGCGGACATCGGCCGCCGAGTAACCAACGGGAATCTTGCGTTTGATGTTGTTCTTGATGTAGTTTTTGAGATCACGGGTGATGGCGCGTAGGTAGGGTGGCACTTCCTTGGCCGAGGGTAGGTTGTTAATGACCTCGTTGCCGGAAAAGTAGAGCAGAGTATTGGGATAGTTGCTGAAGGCCTCGACCACGGCAAAAGTGTGGTTCAGATACCCCATGTAGTAGCTCGTCCAGGGCTCAAACGAAGTGATGGCCTCTCCAACAAGGGGGGAGTTGACATCAATGATGAGGTAGATGCCGGCCTATGTCGAAACAGGTTAGCAAGGCCAGTGCAAAGATCAAGTGATGGGAAACTCAGACTCACAGCGTTGAAGATGCTGACACACTCGTCGTGGTTGACGTTGGGGTCGACATTGTAGACGCGGATGGTGTTGACGCCCATGACCTGCATCAGGGCGGCGTCTCGGAGACAGACATCGGCGTGGCTGAGGGGATCCTTGCCGCCTTTGGGGTCGTATCCAGCGCTGCCCCCGGGCTGATAGGCAATTCCGACGATCTGAAACTTGTTGCCAGTGTTGGGGTTGACAAGATCGGTGCCATGGACCTCAAGCGACGGCACGGCACCGACCAATGTGGCAACAAGCGCCACGAGGACGGGTAGAATCTGGCGACAAGGCGTTGGTCAGAGTCTTTGAATACATCTCTCTCCATCGGCGACAATGGCAGGACCATAGCATGAGATGTCTTGTCTCAAAGGGACTCATCGAGAGGAGCAGAGACAACTCACAAGCATGGCTGTTGGTGTTGCTTGATCAATGCCAGGCAGAAATATGAGCTGGTGATGGTGTGAAGTGAAGGGTGATGGTACTGAAAGGCTGCGCGGCGATGAATCGAGGGCCAGCCGATGGGAGAGGAATGGTTGCGTAACAAACAAGATTACAAGAGGCAGAGAGAAGGAACGGCGAGCTAGGCCTGATGAAGGAGAGACAGGAAGCGAATCGACAAACAGGCAGGAACAAAACCAAGGTGCATGGACTTTGCCGAGCCGGAATGAAGGGAAAAGTCAACTTTCCTCTGGCTTGAGGGGAGGGGAAGGAGAGGTGAAGCGAGTGGGAAGGAAGGGAAAAGAGAGGGGAGAGGGCAAATTTCATCTCACGTTGGCGATTGTCGATTCACCGTCTCTGTCGCCGGTAAGGCTACCGTAGGCGCTGCAGACTCAACATACCCATTCACTGTTCCATTGTCCGTCTCTGAGAAACCGGCGTGTCACGTCGAGAAACGGTGCCGTTTGCTCTCATGGCATCATGAACCGACGCTGGCTCGTTTGCGGTGGCACATGCGACGACGGCCGTCGACATGCAACTTGCAAGTTCCACCTCGCCTGTCGCCATCGTGTCCAATGTGACGACGATCTTTGCTGGCGAGCTTGTCATCGACCTCGTGCCAATTGAGCTGTGCTTGCAACGGCTGCGTGCATGGCTCCTTGGCGGCTTTCCCAACACGTCCAACAGCCGGACATCGGTCCCGTTCCCTGTAAAGAGGTAGCCTGGAGGCAATCGACGGCAGAGCTGCGGCGCTCGGCTCGGGTGAAATCTCGCTTGTTGAAATGAACCATGGCACAGTCCAACGTTGTTCAAGGTTTCAACGCCATGTCCCTGCCATCATCACACGTCGCCCTGGAGCTTGGCAGATGGCCTAAACAGGCAGTGTGGAGAGATATAGCGAATCGTGACAGTCAATACCGACCCTCACCGCCTGCCCCCCCACGGCATTCGAGATTTCAGGGGCAAGATACTAGTCTACTGTACCTTCGCCGGCAAAACTCCGCCCACCAAAGGGGAAAAAATCACCCATCATGGTGAACACTTCAACGTCCGATTCATTCATTAGTCGTGTCAGCGTTTTAAACAAGGTATGTATGTACATGCATATCTACACGTGCGATTCATGCATTTCCCTTGATTCTTGATTTAAACATTATGTTCTTAATCTCTTCTTCACTACTCGGTTTCCGTCTTTTTTAACTTTCCATGATTCCCCGCCTCGCAGCCTCGCTCCCGCGAATAGCCTCGTCCACGTCACGGACCCTTCGGATTCCGACTCCCCGTCTCTGGTCGAGCACAATGACCACCCGTATGTCGTCCACCCGCCCCTACGAATCAGACCGGCTTGCGGCTTGTCGCCCAGGGCACCAAGCTGACAGGCCAGCTCCTACCCACAGCTCCTCCCGACCGCCGGCCCATCGTCATCTCCGGCCCCTCGGGCGTCGGCAAGGGCACACTCTACAACCTCCTCTTCGAGCGCCACCCGGACACCTTTAGCCTCTCCGTCTCCCACACCACCCGCGCCCCCCGCGACGGCGAGCGTCATGGCCACCACTACTGGTTCGTCCCTATGGATGACTTTGAGAACCTCATTGCCAACAACGGCTTCGTCGAGCACGCAAAGTTTAGCGGCAACCGCTACGGCACCAGCAGGATGACCATTGAGGAGCAGACCAGGAAGGGCAGGGTTGTGCTGCTGGACATTGAGATGGAGGTACATTGACTTTCCTATCCCCGAACTCGACGCGTCAGTCTTGCGTCAGAGCCTCGTGCTAATCATTTTTCGAATCCGCAGGGCGTCAAGCAGATTAAGCAGTCCGACTTGTCTGCCCGCTACGTCTTCATCGCCCCTCCGTCCCCCGAGATTCTCGAGTCCCGCCTGAGAGGCCGAGGAACCGAAAAGGAGGAAAGCATTCAAAGAAGACTGGACCAGGCTCGAAATGAGCTTGAATATTCAAAGACACCGGGCGTGCACGACAAAATCATTGTCAACGACGACCTCGAAGCCGCCTACAAGGAGCTGGAAGATTTCGTATACGCGGCCCCGAGCTGACACTGCCTTGGCTGCCATACACCAAGAGGGGGCTCTTTAAGCGCCACACAAGACTCTAGACGCGTGAATAGAGGTAATGACTGCCTTGTTCTGATGACAACGTGTAGCCGTAGACGTGACACTGTTCAGGTTGATGCATCGGCATCCAGTGACCTTGCTCCCCTTCACGAAATTGCACGGTCCGCATCACTGCTCCGAGGAGGCGGGACTAACTGGTCATGGCGGAGTGTAAAGCGCGATCTTGATTAAAGTCTACAGAAAATGGTAACAGAAGAGCCCTGGACTGTGCTGGCAAAGACAATTTGAGAACGCGTTCAACAAACACCCAGCAAGGATGTAGGGGGGGTACCGTAGCACACCGAAGCCGCCAAATTTCACCAGACGGGAAGGCCCAACAAAAGAGAACTGCACTCGCCATCCGCCAGCAGGCTTCCGGCTCCATGGCATGCTTTGGAGCCAGTGCCTCTCCTCCTCACCATGCCGGCTGGAAAAGAGGCTCCTTCTTCGGCAGTCATAAGTCGGACCGCCACGGAGAAAACGGTCTCGTCCCCACGCCACCCATATCGCTACCTCATGGTCCGCCTGACCCGTGACAAAAATTGGCTTCGTTAACAAAAAAACGGTGGGTTGCAAGCCCCGTGGCTGCCACGCGACGCCGTTGCTCCCTCGCAAGCAAAAAGATCAAGAACTAGCCTTGGCCCTAGTAGCCATTCATGGCCATTCGTTGCGAGCTGCGGCTCAGTTCACGGTCAGCAGCGGGGCTAATGGGTCGGCTGCTCCCGCCGCCGTGCGCGCTGCTCTCCTTGAGGGCCAGCAGCTGTTTCGCGCGGAAGGTTTCATAGTGGGTCTGCGACGTGGTCTCGATAAGATCCTGCAGGTGGGTTCGAAGCAGGAAGTTGCGCAGGTAGACGAATTCGCAATGGTTCTCGTCCTCGACATTGATGACGCCCCACCTGTTTTGGCGGCCACGGACTTGCTGGCCGTTGACGATGATGGACTTTTCAGACCCGACAACGGCAAAGGGTACAAGGCTCTGCTCGGATTAGTAAGGGTCCGAGCTGGGCGTTGGGTAGACGGCTCACCTTGATCTTGCCGTTCAAGGCACGCTCCTCCTCGTCAAATTCTTCATTGTCGTAGGGGAACATCTTGAGGTTGTGGAAGGCAAACTCCTCCTTGATGCGCTCCTTGAAGGCCAGGCGCTCATCGGCGGTGAGTGTGTCAGCCTTGGCGATGACGGGCACGACGTTGACAACATCCGAGAGCTTCTTCAAGACGACAATATCGATAGGCTTGAGGGAGTGGCCGGATGGCTGGATGAAGAAGAGGCAGCAGTGGATGCGAGTGTCCTGGATGTAGCGCTCGCGCTGGGCCGTGAGCTCCTTGCGCAGGTAAGCGGAGTGCTGATCCTTTATGTACTTGACGATGGGATCCCAGCATCGGTCGTTGTTGACGAGGTCACCGTAGCCGGGGGTGTCGACGATGTTAAGCCTCAGTCGGACGCCGTTCTCCTCAATGATGTTGGAAACGGCCTGGATCTCGGTGGTGGAGCGGATTGGCTCGTCGGGCTGCAGGCGACCCTTGGAGTCGATGAGGTGCGAGGCGAAGATGGTGTTGATCAAGGTGGACTTGCCCAGCCCAGTCTGGCCTGCACGGTTGGCGAGGTTAGCACGTTGTCACGAAAGCCAAAGCTCGACAAGATTGGTGGCGGCGGCGGCTGGGGCCGACCCAAGGCAGGGTGTCATACCGACGCAGATGACGTTGAACTGGAAGCCGCGCTTCAACAGCTTCTTCTCGATCTGGGTCGTGATGCTGTCAAAGCCGACGTGGCTGTTGGGCACCATGGTGCTCGGAGGCATGGTCGCCATTTTCGCCGTGCGAATTGGGGCGGTCGCAGGGGACTCAAAAAAGGAGGCGGAGGATAGTGGATAAGTAGAGAGAGAATATTCTCTCTGGCCTATTCCAAGAAAGACTGGAGGACAGGTATCGCGGGAAACTGATGCCTGAGTCGCCGCGAATGGGACGGGGACTGAAGCCGTTGCAAACTGATGAAGCTGGACAAGGCACGGTTGACAGGTCGAGACGAAGTGCCGCGGAGTCGAAGGGGACGGGGAGGTAACTTTTTGGGGATGGGGGGCGAGGCACAGGCCAGTTGGCCCCCCTGTCCACCCGTGCCTGGCAATTATTAGGTGGCCACCACGGGCAATTTGGCAGGTGCAGGGTCTGATGAGAAAGGGGCACGGTGCAGCGGCGGCGTGTAGCGCGAGGTACCTGTGCCACGTGAAGGCGCGCGCAGAGGTACCTCGCACAAACAGCGAAAACCCGGGCTGCCTTTTCTGGAGCTGGCCATTGGCCAAGCCCCCGGTCCGTGCGCTGCGGGCCTGCCATTGGCCTGCGGGCTGCAGACCTCTTGAAGAAGGATTGGATAGCTGCGGTCCGAGATTTTGCCCTTTGAGACAACGCCATCGGCCTCTTTGGCGACAGCCTGCATTGCTCAACACAGCCTTCAGTCTGGCCTTGGCGAGCGCGTCCGACCCGCGCCAGCGCCTCTATCAAGATTTTCTGCCGTAGCCCAAGGCGACCGACCGAACTCAGCGGCATCAAGCGCCGCCCCGAGCCATCGCCATGGCCGCCGTCACGGCCTCCGTCATGTCCCGGCTGGCTTTCCCGACGACAGTCGCCTCCTCCCGATGGTCAATATTCTGCTCCCGAATCTTCAGTCCGCGGCTGCTCGCCCCCCTCTCCATCGCCATACCCGGTGTCAGCCTCAACCTGCCGACCCTGGATGATATCTGGGAGTCGGTATTGCGAGCAGTGCCCAAGAAGAAGACGTCACATTCCCGGAAGAGGCATCGACAAATGGCGGGCAAGGCTCTTGAGGATGTCAACGGCCTATGTACCTGCCCTGGCTGCGGAGAGATCAAGCGGACGCATCGGCTGTGTCAAAAATGTCTCGAGGGTACGAAGCTGCAGGTGATATGATGATTCGGCACTAATTGGCTATGCAGACATGAGGAGAATATGGCGCGAGGACTACCCAGAGCAGAAGCCGTTTTGAAGGCAAACGACGAGGCGAGAAAGGGACACTTGTGGGCTTGAATCAAATTTGCGCAATGCCAGACCTGCCAGTTCATGCATGCTACCGGCGTTTGGTTCGGCTGGGTCGTGTGTGTGTATTATAGAAGAAAGAAAGAAAACGAGATGCCTCATTCAGGCTTCTTGGCGGCTTCCAACTGAAAGCCGCATCGCCGAGAGTAAGGCGTAGCTCAAGGGCCCGAACATCGTGTGTCATGTCAGCATGCTGAATACCGTTCAGAGCCGTTGCTAGCGTGGCTTTGGCCTTCATTAAGCGAAATCGATGGATTGTAGTGCCAGGGCTTGATTAATGTTGAGAGGCAACGTGCCGTGCTGCGAATAGTTTTCTGAATGCCTTGGGCAAAAAGGCGGCTTTGGCTGGGTTTGCGACATCTCAAGTACCCCACCTGCATCGACTGCACGGTCAAGCCGTCACTCCAGCACACACAACTCTCGCTGTTGCAGCCGGCCAATCTCGTTCCCGGCGCTCAATCATGGTAGGAAATTTGGTGGCGCAGAGCTTCAAGGGCCGTGAGCTTACGGAAATCCGCAGTCAAAGCAGTACTTGACCACGCATACCGTGGACGACGGTCGGGCTCCTCAAATCCTGCTCTCACTCGACCTCAAAGCTTACTGGCCTACAGCCCATATCACGGACATTTTCGCCTTGGCGACGACCCCCAGAGCAGTTTTGTCGGCGAGCGGGTCGTCGACTCTTCACATCCACGACACCACTGATCCCAGCTTCCCCTTGAAGCAGTCCATTTCCGACGCCCACAAGCTGGGCTGCCACCACCTCTGCACCTCGAGAAATGGTAAGGTCGCCGCCAGTGCCGGGTTCGGCGGCGAGGTCAAGATCTGGGCTCTGAACCAGGACACTGGAGAGTGGCTCGGCGCTGGCGAGATCACGGGCTCATCGGCCAAGGCGGGCGAGGCGTGGGCGCTGGCCCTGAGCGAGGACGGCGCCTATCTCGCTGTGACGACAAACGATGGCCGGATCAATGTCTGGGACATCCAGGGCGAGAAGAAATCCAAGGTCCAAGAGTACGAGACCGGCAGTGCCGGGTCTGGTAGCTTTGGCATGTGCGTCGACCTGAGCGGCGACGGCAAGTTCACTGCCAGCGGCCACCAGAATGGTGCTGTCTACATCTTCAACAACGAGACTGGACGAATCCTTTACTCGCTGTCGGGTAACTCTCGCTCTCGATTCCACGGCAGATCCGACGGCGCTAATGCTCTACGCAGGTCTGGCCAAGCCCGTCCGAGCCGTGGCCTTTTCCCCAGGCAGCAGTCGGCTGGCGGCAGCGGGCGACGCGGGCATCATCGCCCTCTACGACATGAAGCACGGAGAGCACGTAGGGAACCTCACGGGCCACTCGTCTTGGATCACGACCATTGACTGGAGCCACACGGGAGAATACCTGCTCAGTGGGTCGATGGACGGCAAGGTCAAAGTGTGGTCAATCGAGCGGAGCGCCTGTGTCGCCACCCACAGCGAGACGGACAAGTCGCTATGGGCTGCGAAGTGGCTCCCCAAGACGGGGAAGAGCGAGATGTTTTGCACAGCCGGGGCCAACAGGAGCATTTCGTTCTATCGGGAGGCAACCGGCGGTTAGGCGCCGGCGATTTGGGGGCAGAGGGTGCTCGCTAGCACTTTGCTTTCATTTGGCGACCTGCTCGACACAACGAAGTCACTGTGCCATTTTTCCTTCATGGTGAAGATGACGTTGGCACTGGGCAGCTAGAATCGTCAGGTCCAAGGGACTTGAATTGCCACGCAAAGTCAATGTCAAGCCTTCTCTGCCTCGTCGACTCGTCGAGCTGCTCGTAATCTTGTGAGGTGGGCCGGTGTGGATGTTCTGCTTCACGTGACCTCGTTCCAGGCTCGCGTTGCCCCGCCAAACTCGGCGGTTCGCAACTTGTCGCATCTTCGTCATCACATTGACTACTGCCCAACCTGGAATTCGCCCGTGAATTAGCCAAACATCACCTCAAGAACAAGTACAACCTCAAATCGACTTTTCACATCTTCTAACCCCAAGACTGATTCATATTTACATTTCGGCTGCTCCGTATTCCTTCACTTTTGCATCTTCAACCCCACATCTGCAGCCAACCATGCCTCCAACCAGAAGGACCACTGGGGGTGCCCGCGCCCACCCCGGGCCTGTTAGGGGGCAATCGACAATCAGCTTCTCCGGCAAAGTGACCAAGAGCGTGCCGACGGACGCGAAAAAGGCCGTCGTCTCTCCGAGCGTCGCCAAAATCGCGGAGCCCGAAACAGCCGCATCGCCTGCTGAGGATATCGAGGTCGAGGAGTCGGATGTGGCCGACGAGGCGGGACCCGAGTTGCATGAGGAAATAATTCCGGACAAGACCGAGGCCGAGGCGCAGGCGGAGGAGATTAGCGATGCGCAGATCAACAAGTACTGGAAGGCGGTCGAGAGTCAGCGCAAGGCGCCGAGAGTGCACCAGGAGGACCTGGACGTGAGCGAGATGGTCCTGCGCTATTTTGACGTAAGCTCTCAGTACGGGGTGAGTCGCCATTACCACTTTCTGCCTTTTCTTCGCTCCACAGTGGATTAACAAGTTGCTTGCCCCTCCACCAGCCGTGCATCGGACTCGACCGCATGAAGCGATGGCAGAGAGCCGAGCGCCTCGGACTAAACCCCCCGATTGAGGTTCTAGCGGTGTTGCTGAAGGAGGACAAGAAGGGCACGAGGGATATCGAGACGGCGCAGATGGATAAGATCCTCAGCTCCATCGCTGTGAGCGCCTGATGGATCGGAGACCTTGATGAGTGAATGCGGTTTTCGGTGTTCTGCGGTGCTTGGGGCTACTGAGGCGTTGGCGGGGTTGCAGTTTTCTGGAAGAAATGTGTCTCGAACGACGGGCGGCAGCATGTTTGCTGTGGTTGCAAGACATCTCGCGGAATCCATCGTCTAGCTTGGCTAGCCCAGATTGTCAAGGACGAACACCAAGGCGGTCTGCGTGCGCTCAAACTGGGACTGCTGACATGATTGAGTATCCGAGCTTCCAAGGATCTAGCAATGAAGTATGCGAGCCTCTAAAAATTCTAATACCATATGCTCCGCGTTCTATGATGGGGTATTTCCCCCCGGCCCTGTTCCTCTAGCTCTTTCATCTTATCGTACAGGAAGAAGTCAATCAGGATCGCGTTGACATGCGTCCCGGGATGCTGTCTCAAGATTTCTCTACGAATCATCTCGACGCACCATATGCTACACGCTGCGACCTGTCAGAAACTGCATTCTGCGTTCGGGGGGGAAGACCAACCTCTCAGCTGCACCTCCCAGCTAGCCCCGCTCTCCAGCAGCCGTTTGTCTTTGATGGCGGCACTCAGGGACGGACAGCAGTACAAGGCGCCCATGGAGATGAGGATCTGGGGCACGCGGTAGTCGGCAAACATTGTGATCTTGTCGATGTCTCGGAACTTGCCCCACGACTCGCCCTGGAAGCAGGCCCAGAGGTCGGCGACGAGGATCTGGGCGCGCTTCAGAAAGCGGACGGGCTTGTGTCTCTCGTTGAAGGTGTGCTCATCGCGGAAGCACGAAAAGTCGTGCGCCAGCAGGTTGACGAGGCGCGCTGCGCTGCCGCCGGCGGCAGAGACGACGTTAATGAAGGAAGAGTCGTACCGCTGGAAGTCGAGTTGGGTTAGACTGCTGTTAAGTTGGAAGAGGGCGGGCGCAAGAGTCACCTCGTAGAGAACCTGGCCGCTTTCTCTCAGGCAGGCCAGGCGCTCTTGTAGCATGGGCATCTCCTCATCCGTGCACGATCTGAAGACGTGGCGCAGGGTCTCGAGGTTGCACTCGTCCTCGTTTTGCCAGAAATGAGGAGCCGTTATGGGAATGTCTTTGCATAGGGGCGTCAGAATCGGAGTGGCAAAACAAGCCAGGGAAGGTGCGAGAGCTGGCAGGGGGGAAGTGGGCCACCGACCGTCGTCCAGGGCTCGCTGGAGGGCAGCGACAAGACTCCAGTAGCCCGTCCACTGCTTGCCGCGATAGTCGACGGCGAAGCACTCGTCATCCGGGAGCTCGGACCAAAAGGAAAAGTTGAGCAGGTCCATGGTGAAGATGAAGGCGACCGTCTGCTCGTCCTTTGCCTGCGGGTGCAGCTGGTGTTCGGACCAGGTAGCCGTCGAGTAGTGCGTCTGCTGCATCTGGGCGTAGATTGTCTCTGCGGCGGCCTTGGTGGAGCGCATGTCGATGGCGACGTCGACGCCGTTGTCGTAGACATACTCTGCGCCCTCGAGGACGCCCGTCTCGGGCTCCTTGTGGATGGCTAGCTTGCCCTGGAGGTGGTTGCGGAGGAGGTCGAGAAGCTCGAGGTCCACTTCATCGTCAGACATGGCGAGCGCACGCGCTGCCGCTTGGAAGGAGTGGAAGTTGCAGCGTCACGTTGAAGGTTTGAGGAGTGAAGTCTGAAGAGTGCCTACCCAACAGGTAGTGAGTTGTCTGACCTATTCTCCGGAATCGGACCTGTAATTAGATTGGTGGGGCGTCGTGGCGGGGCGCTGTGGCGGGACATTTTATAACGCTGTCAGGTATAGATAGATAACTGTTAGAGTAGAGAGAAAAAGTAATTATAATACGCGTTATTATTAAGAGTATTACTATTTGCCTAAGACTAAATCTCTATTTAGCTAATACTAGCAGAGGCGGGGTACCTTAATATCTCGCACTAATATCTTATAAGTGTAATTTTTTTACTATTCTTTTAGCGAAAAATCCCTAAAAACCCCTAGATAACTAGCTCTAACTACGAAATAGCGTAATTACTCGAGCGCCCGAGCTAGTAGGGGAGGGGTCCCCCTTAGGGAGGGGCCCTACTATAGGGGTTTACCCCCGCGCAAGGTAAGCGCGACGTATAAGATAAGTACTTTAAGATACTTAAGATGTTTCTTTAATAACTAAGACGTAATATAGCTAATTAAAAGAGGCGATTTTAAGAGACTCTTAGCTAAATAAAGATTTAGTCTTAAGTAAATAATAAGAGTATTACTAACTATATATATATATATATTACTATTTATAAGGGTATTTACCCTTAGTATAGGTCTAGGTATTAGCTTAGACTTTAGCCGATAGCGTTATAGGGTAAGGTAGGCTATATATATAAATATATATTTAGTAGTAATAGGCGTAGTATATAGTTAGATCCTATATAGCTTATTATTATAATATAATAAAAGGTACCTATAGTATAACCTTTTACCTACCTTATAATAGTATAAGCTATCTTTATATTAGACCTAATATTAAAACTTTAGTAGTACTAGCTAAGGTAGTAGTAGTAGTAGTAGCTATTATAAGAAGAAGCTTAGTATTAATAGCTATAATAATAAGTAAAAGAGCTATACTAGTAATACTTATAAGAAGAGGCCTAGTAGTAATAGGATAAATAAGCTTAATTTATAAAGCTATTTTACTAGATATTATAAGACCTAGACTAATAAGTAACCTTATACTAGATCCTTAATACCCTCTTAACGCTAGCTTTAATAAATACGCCCCTTACTACTAAGAGGTTAAAGCGCGAGGCGGCCTTTAGTAGATAGAAGCTACTACCTTAGCTTACCTAAGATAGTAAGCTAAAAACCTTTTACTTTTTCCTTAACCGCTTAATAGTAAAATACTATATTAATAAGAAATAAGGCCTTAATAATTATAAGGAAATAGCTTAGTTCTTACTCCTTTATATATTACTAAAGCCTTAAATATAGTAAGTAGTAAGCTTCTAAGAGTAAAGCGGTCTTAAGGGAATAAAAGACCTTTAAGTATTCTTTAACTATTTAATCTTATAAGAGCGCTACTAAGAGGTACGGGCTAATAAAGCACTTAGGTATATAGTACTAATATATCGGTAGGGTATCGGTAGGGAATCGTGCCTACCCCGCTCGTATATTATAGACTACTTACTACTCCGACTAAAGAGGAGAAATCCCTCTTCTTATAAGCTTTAGTCTTATAACGAGGAGAATATAATATATATAGCATAGTACCTCTAGCTATCTCTACTACCTAACTAATTATACTATAATATATATTCCCTTATAATTTCTAAAGCTTCCCTTTTTAATTACTTAGTAAAGATAGCTACTTAAAAAAGACTATATAACGCTCTTATAGCGCGACGTAGTAGTTAACTAGTTAAGGCCTCTTTATTACGTATATTAAGTATTTACTTAAGAGATAAAGAATAGGAAGATATATCCTTAGAATAGACCCTTACTATAGATAGCGTTATAACTATATTAAAGATATCGCTACTTATAAGTATAAGATAACTATCTTATAAAGAAAAGCTTATAGCCCTATAAGCGCGCGTTAAGGAGCTAAAGGAGACGAAACGCTTATAAGATCGCGTTATATAATTAAAGGAGGAAATTACTAAACGTATTAATACTATCGCTATCTATTTAGGGAAGTATCGACGGTCCTACTCCCTTAAATCGGATAGTAGTCGCGGTAGTAAGGTTAAGATTAAAAATATCGCTTAATTATCTTAACCTACTAATATATAGAAACGTCTAGACTAGACTTATAATTTAAAGGACGCCTTTAAGGTAGCGCTTAAACGTTTTCGTCGCGATAAAATAAAGATCCTTTATATAGTAGATTATATATATAGCGACTATAAAGTAAGATAGCGCTAATACCTTAAAGAATAAACGTTAATCGACTAAACTAAATATAGTATAAATTAAGTATACTTTAAAAAATAAATACTTATCTTAATTAAGAATACTATAAATAAGGAGATACTATTAGCGATATAATTAAAAGAGGCTCGCTAATAAGAAAGCTAGTCCTTCTTAGAGTTTAGCTTATACCTTAACTCCTTAAAGAGGTATTTTAAACGCTTATTAAAAAAGGCGCGTACTCTTATGTTTTTTACTAAGCTAAAGCTATAACTTTAAGACTAAATTAACTTTTATTTAATACCTATTTATACTTACTAATAGGAAGAGCTTATATAAGTCGCTTAATAATATTAAGATACTACTATTAATAAGAAGTAATATATTAATACTACTTTTACCCTTAAAAGAACTAAGAATAAAAATAGTACTATACCCTAAGGTAGTATATATAGGGGGAGGAATTAAAGAGGCCGATAAGCTAGGCCGAATTATTAAGGAAATACTACCGATTTAACTAATAACTAATAAGCTAACGATATACTTATTAAGGGCTAAACTAAAGGACGTTATTAAAAAAGACGATCTTTTACTTAATTAAGAATTATATATTTCTAATATAATAAGCTAGGATACCTATTTATAGAATATATTAATTCTTCAAAGGTAGAAACCTTAGTAAAGACTCTTAGACTTAATACTATAAAATAAGGAAAAGGTAAGATATTAAGGTAAACGCCTCTCCCTTAGTAAACTTAATACTTATAAGATAGTTACTTAAAACTCTTATAATAATATTAAAGTAAAACCCTACTAAAGTCCTTATATACTTAGATACTTATAATACTATTAACCTTATAAACGTATACTTTACTTAATAGTAGGGATTACTATAAGTAGCGCTATTATACTTTAAGTTATTAAGGCTTAATAATAATAAGGTAAGAGAGTATAAAGTATAGTTAGTGCCGCTTTAAATAATAAATATAAAGGGTACTAAAAAGATAATTACTTATTTCTATATTAATACTAATAAGTTAACGCTAAATAATTAAGTATTAATCCTTTTATTAATTACTACCTTAGAGGATAAATATATTTATATTATCTTATAGAAATAATAGTAGTAGTTTAAGTATTAATTAAGTAGCGAAACCTTATAAAATCCCTATAGATTCCTTTAGGAATATAAAAATAAGGTAAGGGTATATATAATAGCGCTTAATCTTAAGCTAATCTCGCTATTAAATAAAGATAAGGATAAAGGGATTTTATAGGAAGAATAGGCTAAAATCCTACTAACTCTTTACTAGTTTAAAGATACCTTCTTAGCTAATAAATCTAACTTACTATTAGCTAAAAAAGGAACGGATTACTTAATTAATTTAATCCTTAATATAGAACCCCTTTATAGACTAATTTACTTTTTATTATAAAGAGAACTCTAAGTATTATACGACTAGATCTAAGATATAATAAGAAGGAAAATAATCTAAGAGTTAAAGAGCCTAGCTAAGGCGCTTATCTTTTTTATTTTAAAAAAAGATAGTACCTTACGGCTATATATAGACTACTAAGGACTTAACTAAGTTATATAAAAGAATTAGTACTTTTTACCCTTTATTTTAAAGATTATTAATTATTATTAAGGAGCTAAGTATTTTTCTAAGATTAATATATAAAATATATATTAATATATTCGAATTTAGGAAGGAGATAAATAAAAGACCGCTTTCTAAATATATTATAGATATTTTAAATACTTAGTAATGCCTTTTAGACTTATTAATATACTAGCTATATTTTAAAGCTATATCTATTAAGCGCTTAAGGGGCTCGTAGATATAATCTATATAGTTTACCTTAATAATATCCTTATATACTTTAAAATAAGAAAAGAATATACTAAATACTTAAAATAAGTAATAAAAAGGTTAAGGGCTATAGAGCTTTATATAAAACTATTAAAGTATATCTTCTATTAATAGTTAGTTAAGTTCCTTAGGTTTATTTTATTTATTAATAAGGTATTAATAGACCCTTAATAAGTAAAGGTAATAGCTTAATAGCCTAAACTTATAACCTACTATAATATTTAGGTTTTTCTTAGGTTTTATAATTTTTACTAACGATTTATATATAGGTACTTAGGAGTTATAGCGCCCTTAACTATATTACTAAAGAGGAGTAAGAATAGGAAGAAGCTAGGGAGTATAAAGCTAAACCTTATTAAAAGGGCAGCGTTTTAAGCTCTTAAGGATACTTTTTAAGGAGCCCTACTCCTTTAATATTACGATTTAAAAAGATATATTTATATTAAAATAGATATATTATAATTCGTAATAATAAGGATTATCTCTTAACTTAATAATAAAGGATATTACTATTTAATTATATTTTAATTAAGGAAGTTTACTAAAGCTAAACTTAATTATAGTATTTTAAACTAAGAACTATTTACTATTATTAAGTTATTTAAATACTAACGATATTACGTTAAAAAGGTAGCGTATTAAGTAAAGGTATTATTAAACTACTATAACCTTTAAACGTTTATATACTAGACCTCCTTAAATAAGAGGTAAGTAAGATAGTATATATATTTAGTACTATTTAACTTTACGATTAAGTATTATATAAGTAAATTAAACTTAGCGGACGCGCTATTAAGAATACCTAGATATAAGGGTAAGAAGCCCTTATTTATA